ATCTCCGTCTCCGTCATCGAGTCCTCAGGCTGAAAAGTCCAACAAGGTGAGCTCGTCGCCCATTGAACACACCTCTAAAACAGTCAATTCTAAAGTGACAAAAGAGAAAAAAGTTGTTGCAACTTTTGCAAAGGAAGAGGAGAAAGAAAATGGCAGTCCAACTTTGGGCGTCAACAAAGAGAACGACAATGATAGCGGCGCTAACTAAAATCTAATTTTAAGGAGCACTTTTTTCACATCTTAATCTTGTCGCATTTTCTTTTCAGTTAAAAATATTAAAAGCCATTCTAGTGCACTAGCGCTTGCATAAAAAGTTTAATAACCCCCAAAACCCTAACAAAAGATATTAAAACTACGTTATGATTTTAGCATGCATGTAGTACAACAACGACAACCAACAGCAATCCTCCACAACTGTTCATCAATCAAAAATAATGATTGAAGAACTAGCTCAACTTGTCAAGCAAACTGGGCGTCAGAAGGGTGGGCGAAGAAACAGAAGATGATGAGGGCGAGCTGGGCGCGTCTTCATCCCCAGTGCCTGATTCTGCCTTGCTTTCCTTGTACAGCGTCAGCATTTGACTGATTAGCTTTGATGTGGTGAGCAGGTGCGCCTTTACCGTTGGTGACAGGGGTGCTTTGTCTTTCTTCAGCTCTTCAGCTTCCTCTTTACAAGACGACGACGACTGTGTCAGTGGTGGGGAAGGACTGGAGGGATTTTCCGGATCGCCCACATTATCCATGACCACGTCCACTTCGGCAGCCGTCGATTGGCAGCTGTTTTCAACCGGTGACGGTGTGAGCACGTCAGCACCCAATTCTGCAATCAGTCGGTCAATAATCGCCTCAAAGCAAACTGTGTCTGTACTATTGGTGCTGACACTGCTGCTGCTACCGGTGTAGTCAGAAGAATCAGCCATTGTTTCACCGGAAGAGAGTCCTCCGTCTCTTGAGTCAGTACTTGAGGTGACCGTAGAGTTTTGGCTGCTGGTGCTCACACTTTCAGTATCATCGGTGAATAGCAGGAGTGAGTCAGAGTACGAGCTTTCATCATCATCCCCATCAAGCGAAGAGCACTGCTTTCTTTTGCTAGCTTTTGACAGCTCTTCATCTTCCTCGCTTTTCAGCTTACACTTCTGTCCTTCAGCATTTTCGAAGACTTCCTCAGCAGAGGCGCTTCCATTCCTGCCCACCGTTACCACCATGGTTCGATTCTTCTTCTTCCTGCGACTGCTCGACGAGCCGCCACTTGAATCAGTTTCAATGACGATCGGATAACTTTTGGAAGAGGAGGAGGAGTGGCCGCGTTTTCGATTCTTACTTCCACTAGTTTGCTGCTGCTGTTTAATTTGCTGCTCTCGTTGTTGGTTGCCAATCTTTGCCCCGCTGACAGCTCCTATCAAAGCACCGCAGCAACACTGGAGATTGCCTGCAATAGAGAAAACCGGATGTCAAAATTAAGATGAGAAAGCCAAATAAATTTCACTTACAAATTCCAAGAAAGCAGAAAAAAGCCATAAAGAGAACTGCAGCAACCATTACACCGGTGAGGATGATCACCTTGATGTCGTACTTTCCACCACGGCCGTCATCATCTCCGCCCTTTGACTCTTTATCTTTATCTTTGTGGCGCTTCTTATCTGATTCACCTGAATCGGTAGTTTCGTCATCGCTGTCGCTTTTTGAATCATCATTACCGTCGTCATCATCATCGCTTTTGCTGCGCAAATGCAATCGTACGTAACTTTCTGGATGTCCTACANTAGTTTCGTCATCGTTGTCGCTTTTTGAATCATCATTACCGTCGTCATCATCATCGTTTTTGCTGCGCAAATGCAATCGTACGTAACTTTCTGGATGTCCTACAGGCAAACAGATGACGTTGTGATTGTTCTCAGAAAGCAGTGGTAGTACTAAAGTCAAGAAACTGAAAACAATGAACGCCATCGGTAGTTGGTAGTAAAAGTGTTTCATTGTTGTTAGAAATAGGGTGAAAGAAACAAATAATGATACCGAAGACTCAAGTGTCAACTAAAAGTGATGTGTGATTCGGAAAACTGAACTGAACGGACTAACTGGGACAAAAAGTTCTACTTTCAGAAATAGAAAACACAAAACAATTTGTAGAATAAACTTTTTGCTGAGTAAAAACAGTTGACACTTACTACTAACATCTTTTCAAGCGACTTTCGAGCAGTTTCATTATGTCACCGTTTACCAGTGCCTGTCATCGTTCACTTCGACTTGCTTTCTCCCTGCTGTTGACCTTTTTTCTATCACAGTTTTCATTCGGAGCTTCGATTAAAGTTGCCAATAACGAGGATGGCCAATCAACAGCAATCAGACACACCACTGAAACGGGCTTAGCCGACATATTCTCTAACAAAACATTTGTTTTCGTACTAGTACTCTGTGCCTGCCTGAACATAACTGTGGTGTCAATTTGCATGATCTCGCTGTACTTGCACTACTACCTCTATCCGCCGACGCCACCACCCGCTGATGTTCAGAAAGTGCCATCAGGAGGGGGCAAACAGGAGCTCGACTGGGCGGAGTATGGTGAGGATGGCGGCTGGGATGATGGCGACCTGCCACCTGCAAAGGACAGTGACAGAAAACAGATGGACTATAGCAGTAGTGCCGATGACAATGAAGACCGCGGAGAAAGAGCCACCATGCCGGTCCGAGCAGCCAAAAGCCGAGGCACAGTCTTCAGCAAGGGCTCCAGTGCTGCTGCTCGCAGTGTGCACACAGTGAACACGAAAAACAATAGAGTGACCTCAAGACCACCCTCTCCACTAAAGAAAGTGGGAAAAGGTGGAGGTGGTGGAGGAAAGAGGAGCCGAGAA